GAAACTGCCAAGCTGTTTTCCAGAGTAGCTGTACCTTTGTACATTCCCACCAGCAGTGTAAGAGTGATCACGTTTTTCTGCATGCTGACACGCGTCACTATTTATTCTGTTAGGTGTGTAGTGGCACCTCACTGTGGTTTTAATTTGCATTTACCTAAGGGCTAATGATATGCTGACCATCTTTTCATGGGCTTATTTGCCATCTGTAGATCCTCTTGGGTGAAATATCCCTTCCTGTCTTTTGCCCATGTTCTTGTTGGATTGTTTGCTTTTTTGCTGTGGAGTTCTTTGTAGGTTCCAGATACCAGTCCTCTCTTGGATATGTGGTTTGCAAATATTTGCTTCCAGTCTGTTGCTTGTCTTTGCATCCTCTTATCAGGATGTTTCACAGAGTAAACATTTTTAATTTTGATGAGGTCTAATTTATCGATTTTTTCCTTTTATGAATCAGGCTTTTAGTGTCAAGTCTAAGAACTCTTTGCCCAGCCCTCGATCCTGAATATTTTCTCCTAAATGTTTTCAAGTTTTACGTTTAAGTAGGTGATCCATTTGGAGTTAATTTTTGTATAAAGTGAGACTTTACATCAAGGCTCATTTTCTTCCTCTGGTTGTCCAGTTGTCCAGCACCATTCGTGGAGCAGCCTCTTTCTTCCTGAGTGGCTTTTGCACTGTTGTCAGAAGCTGTTGGGCACGTCTGGTTAGGTCCGTTCCTGGGTTCTCTGTTCTGTCCCATGGTTCTGCATGTCCATGCCTCCATCACTGCCACACCATCTTGATTCCTGCAGCTGTATAGCAAGCCTTGGAATCAGGGACACTGATTCCTCACACTTTATTCTTCTTTTTCAAAATGGTTTATGCTATTTCAGTTCCTTTGCCTTTGTATATATGTTTTAGAATAATCTTATTTTTAGCTACAAAAAAATCTAGCTGGAGTTTGGTAAGAATCCAATTAAACCTGCATATCGGGGCGTACACATTTCCCACGTGTGGGTGCACTGCCCTCCAGAAAGGCCAGTCAGTTTATCTTTCCACTGGCAGGGCCCACAACATGTGTTTCCACCTTGGCCAACCCTGCACAGCACCTCCCTTTGACTTTGCCAACCTGATAGCAAACGCTGGCATTTCACTCTATTTTGCAATATATAAATTGAACATTCCCCCTAACTTTGCTGCATCTCTTCTTTCTGAGTCGCCTTTTTCTCATTGTTTGCTCATTTTTTCATTGGGATATCTGTCTTCTCCTTGTGGTTTGTAGAAGCTCTTGCTCACATCCAGGTTCTCCCTCTCCCGGCAGTGTTTACCATAGCTCTGGTTTAGAAACCTCTGATGGGGCAATTGGAGAGAGCTGTCAGTTCCGGGGGGGGTGAGGGATGCCCAGTGTTTCCTGACGCTCTTGGAGCGCTGCTGAGTTACGTCCTAGTTTCCTCAGCTGCAGAATGTGGCTGTGCACACAGCTGAGATAGGATTGTGCAAGCAGTAAGGGGGACTAACTCTAAGTGGAAGGCAAAAATACAAGGATTATCCAGCCAGCACTTCTCCAGGCCCTGTTTTTGTATTAGCATCTGGTTTTCCAAGTAGGAACTCAGACCGGGATGTCTTGTGGTGTTACGTGACTAACTTCCAGCAGGACTTGGCACCAGTGTTGAAAAAAACAGCCATTATGGGGTCTCAGTGTTCCTGGGGAAATGGCAGGCTGTGCTGGTTTGCAAGTCATTTTTTATGCTCAAGTCGAGTCTTGCACTTTCACCTCTTCTGTTGGATAAAATGCATCATCACATAATCACGTATGTGCATCTTCCCAGGCAAGAGTGCGTGGGAGGCCATGCTGTGGCCCAGTGCCTGGCTCTGCCAAGCCTGAGCTGTTTTTGCAGCATGCAAAGTAGGTTAGGGCCACACGGCCTGGATGCTCCTCTGGCTGTCACTCACTCTGTGACCCTGGGCAAGGTAACCTCGGTCTCCCTGCTTGTAAGTTGGGGCTAACACTATTACCTGCCTCATGGCATTGTTGGGAGGATTAAATGAGGTGCTGGATGAAAACAGTGCTCACTAAGTGTGATCCATCATTTATCAGAACAAGGAGCTATAGATACTCTTCTAAAAGTTTTAAAATGAAAACGAATTTGCTTATGTCGTTTTAAGGCAAACAAAGCCAGCGATTTTGCTGTGTTTTGCGTGAAAGAGCATACTTCCGTCAGATGAGAATTCTGCTGCCTCCAGGCATAAGTGTTAGGAGGAGTCCTGCCTGTGGACAAATGTAGGCATCAGAGCTGGGTGGACTCAATCCTGGGAGGATTCGGAGTGTCTACAACCCCGATCCTCAGAGGGTCTCCCCTCCAAAGTAGTTCTGCTGTATTCCTCACGTCAAGCTGGTTTTCTCCAGTGTTAAAATCGCATGCGCTCACACAAACTGTGATGTTTTGAAGCCCTTTCAACAGAGGGACGTGAAATTGTTCTCTGACATGCTTCCCCTCCCTGTCGCCCCACTTGGAAGTTGTGTCTGGGCTGGAGGGCAGAGTGAAGAGGCCACAGGAACTTTCCATGTTCTCTCTCTTAGTACTTTAAGACACGATGAGCAACTGAAAGGTAGAAGTGAAAGTTATATTGAACCTCATCCATAAATCAGACTCTGTGGAGTTGAAGATGGCATCTTAGCGCTGTGGGCTGGTGATGGAGGGTGCATCCTGGCTGGGTCTGTCTTGCTTCCGTTCTCTTTTTTTGGTGAGAAAGATTCACCCTGAGCTAACATCTGTTGCCAATCTTTCTCTCTCTCTTTTTTTTTTTTTTTGCTTAAGGAATATTAGGCCTGAGCTAAGGTCTGTGGCAGTCTTCCTCTATTTCGTATGTGGGTCGCCGCTGCAGCGTGGCTGATGAGTGGTAGGTCTACGCCCGGGATCCAAACCCGCAAACCCGGGCCACCCAAGTGGAGCGTGCCGGACTTAACCACTATGTCGCAGGGCCAGCCCCCTTGCTTCCCTTCTTGAAGCCATTGCCAAGCCTTCTGCAGCCCTGTTACACTGAAACCTTTGTCCCCTGGCCCGTTCCCTTTCTGCTTTGGCCCCGGGCTCAATTTGGGGTCAGACGTGGGTAGGCAGCTCTGGTGCCTGTTCTCAGCATGCAAAGGGCTCTGTCCCAGCAGCCGTGACACGCCCTCTGGGAGCCACTGCCTGCACTGGTGTGCTGGTTGTTACCGAGGTCTCTGCATGGGGGCCGGCCCCACAGACTGCCCGTCACTGGGGGATTCGTGGCGTTAGCAGCGTGCATCTTCAGCTCTGTTGCAGTGGCATCTCGGGCAGCTTGCAGATGTGACTCCACCGTCCCCGGGAGGGTGCAGTGTGGTAAGAGGATGTGGCCATTAGAGGCTGGTGTTTTCCCTCTTCTGCTTTCGCAGTACCTGAAGTCTGTGTAATTAAATCAAAACCTCTACCTGCTGTCATTGTCCCAGCTTACGCAACGTGATTCCCATAGTTAGAGAGGAGTGGTTGAGGCATACTCTCTGATTTTCTGTCAGTTGTAGATCATTTGGGATCAACACCTGGCCCTAAGCTGTCTGTGGGATGAGCCCTTAGCACAGACAGTTGGAGCTTTAGGTCTGGTGCTTCAGAGCCTTTTCCAGACTATTCAGGGTGTTGTTTCTCTTGATTGTGGATCTTGTAGCTCAGAAGCATTTGGAAAGTTAGAGATGGTTGTTAACCCTGTATGCCCCAAATATCATAACTCTTTTGTCACTGAAATCTTGGAAACCTCTCACTTGGCTTACCATGAGATCTTAAAAGAAAGCCTACTGGAAATGCACTGATTGTTGGCAGGAATGGGACTTTTATCGTCATAGTGGGGGACCCTGGGGTCTGTGCATTCCACTTCTCTGAGCCAGTGGCACGTGATGTGCTGCCTGGACCTGGGCGCTGTCACCTTGACTGGCAGATGACAAACAGCCTATGTGACTTTGCTTCCTCTCTCGGCCTTACACCTCCCGGGGATGTGCTTTGAAAGCCTGCGGAGCTTTAAGCCTCAGAGGCCACACAGGGTATGATGGTGGACACTGCCATCTGAGGTCATGAGAAGCTGAGGGTGACAGCCTCCTGCAGTGGTATTGTTGGCGAGGAGGGCAGCCGGCCGGGGCGCTGCCATGCTGTGCACCTGCGTCTCTCTGCTTCTCACTGGGGCCGGCTCTTTCCTCTCTTGGGCCAGCGCTCCTTGCCCTCCAACCTTTCTTGCTTTTCACATTGTTTAGTTTTTTCTGCCTTTTCGGGATTTCCCCCTTTCTTTCTTCTTTTTTTTTTTTTT